CCGGGCTGGAAAGAGATAGGGGGTGGCTTACAGGGCGGGGGGGGGTGGCCAGCTGTTAGACATCGCGGTCTGTGTCTGGAGGAGCAGCTCAGCCCAAAGCAGGGAGCAATAATAATAATAATTGTGCCTGCAGCAGTGAAGATGGAGCAACCCGCCAGGAGCCGGGTGTGCTGGCAGGCCTGGGGACCGGCCGGGGACACGGAGCCGCTCACCTGATGATGGCCTCATCGTCGATCTTCACGATGCAGTACGGGTCGCTGCTCCCCGTGCTGGAAGGACACGGCACAGCCCCGTCAGCACTGCCGGCCGCCCCGCTGGCCCCCTGCCCCAACCCCGCGGGGCTCTCATGGTCGTGGGCGACCAAAGCCTTCAGCCCTGGCAAACCCCCTCACAGAGGAGGGGACCTCGCATGAGCCCCTTGTAGGCACGCCCCAGGGCTATGGGGTGCTGGGGGGCAGTTGTGGGGGGTACAAAGGCACCCCCAGAAGCCAGCGGCTGTGGTGGGTGGATTTGGCCACGGCTACAGGCACGCGGTGACCCCGGCTTCCCTCCCGGCTGGGGGAAACACATCCCTCACTGTGTCCGGCCGCTGCATCCCGCTGGCAGCTGAAAGTGGCTTTCCTCTTCCAAATAGGAAAGCAAAGAACAAACAAAACCCACCCTTTCCCCGAAATGGCTCCAGGCACCCGCAGCCTCGTTGCACACACTGGGAGCGGGGCCATGGCAGCCTGCTCCAGCCTCAGGGCGCAACCAGAGCCCTGACACCTCCGTAGGGATGGGGACATCCCTGGGGACACCCCCAGTGATGCAGAGGGTGCGAAGGGTAGGCAGCACGTGCCACGGTGGCCACGGGGTGTTGGCCGGCCACGATGCCTGACCGGGCTTCCTCCCCGGGGACAACCCGAGTCATCGCTCCCATGCGCCGCTGCCAAAAAAAAAAAAAAAAATCACCATTTTACAGTTTATTGCCCCAGTTCATCAGAAACGAGGCGAGTCGGTTGCAGGCAGGGGGGGGGGGTCTGG